CAAAAACTTCCTTCTACAGAGACAAAAGCTGTTAGATCTATCTCGTATCGGTGGGTTCACTCACTGGTGCGGGATATCCACCTGGCTAACTCGATACTCACCTTTTTCTCCTAAAATATTAATTTTAAATACAAGTTCCTTCATATTATACCCCCGCTTGAAAATCATCCACGATCATCCACACGGTTCGATGAAAATATTCCATAATTTATCTGCGCAAGAAGTGCGAAAATTTTCGAATTCATTTATAAGTATAACAAAATGTGTAACCTTTAAGTTTTAATTTTCGTTTTTCATTTGCTGTGTTGGTTTCTTTTAGATCTAGGAATTTCAGAGGGGGAACTGCATTTACGGCGAAAATCTCAAAAAATAATCAGTATAAGAGGGTTGTTAGAAAAGTTTGTGGACACTTTGATTTACGGAAAATCTCATGTGTACTGTGAAGTATGACCTATGTCTGATTAAATTCGTATCTGTTGTTTATTAGTATGTAAAAAAAAAAAAAAAAAAAAAAAAAAAAAACAGGTCCATTTACTAAAGTTTTGAAAATTTACAACGATTTTTACTATGCGGTCATAGGATATATGGAGCAATCACTTATTAAGTGACGTGACAACCAGATTTCAATTTTTCAGTTCTAAAAATCTTTCATTTCTTGAGACTTTTCTTGTCTTTTTCTGATTAAAAATTGAACATCTATATCAAGACATTTACTTTTATTCTATGGTGTCTTCTATGTTGTTTCGGATATTTAAGTGAGATCTTAAAATAAATGTCGACGCAGTTAAAGCTGACATGAATTCTTAAAAACGTTACATTTTCATCTATGTACGACTTGTTTCATACCAACTATAGCCGTATTCCGCCATATTTCTTTCAGATACCTTGTCTCATTGTAACGATGTATACCCAAATGCGCTCGTTACACTTGAATGATTTTTTGGATTGGGTATCGACTTGTGCACATCTCCGATGGTAAAGCATATGAGAACACATGAGGTGATCAAGACATTTCAAAAAAAAATAAACAACATAGTAATCATATTTTTGAATGATTATTGATTTGAATCAAAAGAAAAAAATGCAAGTTGGGAAGAGGAATTTAGATGCATGAGTACGTATTTTTACAGTGCGCCAATTTATGCAGAATAAACTTGAAATAAAAAGCAGTAAAATTTGCAAACACATTTTGAAATTATATCATTTGAATGGAACAAAACAACCAACGTCTTTGATTTGCAGGTCCTGTGCAATTGATGCATATCGAGAAAACGCATCGAACGCTGTAAACGTACCCATACCTGGTAATAAGGTTACTGCATCGGTTCGAAGATGTGCACAAGTCAAGTGAAATACACCCTGAATTCCATTTATTGAAATATGCATCACAAAAAAGAAATAAACTCCATAAAAGCTAAATAGTAAACACACTGTCATTACTCCGTACACACTAGCACGACGATACACTTAGTCCGTGCTGATCAGATTTTGGTCAGGGAAAATATCAAAAGTGGAAAGAGAGGTTATTTGGTATTTGTGCAGCTGAAAGGGGGGGGGGGATACTAGTATTATAACTGATGTTCATAAGCTATAATTGTGAATTGTTTATCTACATGTAGTTCTAATATACATTCTATACAAAGTCATGTATATAGTCTGCAGTTGGTTTGCGTCGCAAAATTCATTTGTCAATTATAACTGATTATTTTAGTACTAACCTCAAATCTAAACAAAGTAATTTGATGTACGGCTATAATTTACTTTAAATCTTAAAAGCAATTAACCAGATTACAAATTTTTATGTGTACATCTATACATTCTTTAACACATACACACACGGAGAAAGGTCATCCCCTGTTCAGACTGACATTTAAGCATTTGATTTTTTTGGACGGGGGGGGGGGGGCATACAAAAATAATTGACATGACCGTTATTTAAATATTCTTGGAAGACAGACATTTCTGCCGAATTCAGTTCTGAGATTTTTTAAAAATGTGTCACTCACCACAAAGTATGTGCATTTTTGAGTAGTGTAACTGTTTTATACCTATGTTGTTACAGGAAGTATTTCGAGATTTCAGCATCCCTGCCCGATAGTCTAGGTATTTTTTTTTTTTTACATATATAAATAATTTCAATAGGTGAATTTGGGAGATAATTTTAAAAGTTAGGGTAGGGATACTTGACACTGGTTGAATACTGATAATTATTATTTATTCTTTTGTATATTGAACTCTCTCTCTTTCTGTCTGTAACCACCCGTTGGGCCAATGATAGGTATAAAATCAAACGCACTTTGTGCTGTACCATTTATTATGCCTTAGGACAGATCAACGATTTTTTTCAGGCGGGATGTCGAAACTTCATAAATTGAATAATAATTTTACTTTGGACAGAAAATTAATCCAAACGCCCAAATTGAAAGAGAAACTAGACGTACATGTATTATGAGCAATGAACTCACTAAATAATACCCCCTGCCTCCCACATGGTTATAATGGCAAAGTCCATATTTCGCTAAACCCATACGTGTCAGATCAAAAAGTAAAATAGGAGGTGCATAATGGTAATATGTAATAAACTTAGGATTCTTTGAAAGTTTTATTAAATTTCTCTAAGTGGTGTAAGAGGATTTGCGGATAAGAGATGGTTATCCAAAGCGTAACAGACAGACGAACGGACATAACGATTACCTTCCACTTTTCAGGCGGGGGATATATAAATCACAGGAATGGGAACATTGGGAACTTTCTCGAATACCTTCTCAAACGTATGTGTCGAACTTGGACAACAGACAAGAGAATTTTTAAAAAGCTAATTCTCACGAGGAGTTTACTCTCTCTTCCTATATGCTTTTTCTAATAATTATTAATTATTTATGTCTAGAAATTTAATTCACATTAAATTCTATTTTCATTATCATTGTACCAAAGAATCAAACTCGTTTATTATATCCCACGCGTGAGGTATAATGTTTTTGCAGATATTTATAGGAGACAATGTGTGTGTAGATTTGCACATCACCAGGAAATTCCGAATTCTTTATTTTTCGGGAATTTCCGCACTTTTACATTTAGATTTTGGCCATATCTTGAATATAGAGGTGAGCAGTTTGTCAGCGCAACTCCTCATAAACCGCTGCACACAATTTCGTCAAACTTTGCAGATATTTAGGATACATTGTGTATAGATGTGCATATTACAAGGAAATTACGATTCCTTTATTTTTTTCTGGGAATTTCAGCCCTTCGACTTTTGGGGGAGCTTAGGGTATGTGAACGTGCTCACTTTTTCTTTCATAGTGCATAAAATTATAAATAACTTTAAATCAAATTACATTAGGTCTAATAAAGCCAATACACAGTATTTATTTGATAATAATTGATCATAAAGAAATCCAATCTGTTTCAGACGTTTTTCTTACATTATTTTTATGAGAGTGTTATGCATGTTTTATCACACCCCCCCCCCTCATATCACGGGAAAATATCTTCAAAAGGTGAATGATTCGTAATAATGCCTGCTTTTTTATGAATTTGATGAAGTTAAACCATTTACTTAATCGTAAATTTTATTTACAACATGTACAGACGAGAGTAATGTTTATTTTTGAAAAAATTACTTGCATTTTTTTTTTCAATCAACCCCACTGAGCTTTCAACCTTTGATATTTTCCCTGACCAAATAAAATGATCGGCATGGGCCGCGTGTGTCCAAGCATCTTTTACTGTTGAGTTAGCAATGGATTACATGACTTCTGAGATGCATTTTTCAATAAAAGTAAAATAGGATAATTCTTTCGACATGTGCACATCCCTGTAACGATAGCAGTAGTCAGGTAAATGTTTTTATCACTGCGTTTGACGCGTTTTCTCGACCTGCATGGGTGTTTGATGTACATGTATGTATTCCGTGTTAGTTTATTTTCTATATTGCAGCAAATGCATTCAAAAATAATTTAATTCTCGGTATAGTTCTATTTTTTGTTGAATTTTTACTTTTCAAACATGTATTTGGTCAGTGACGGTCAGTTTATGGACTTCTAAAAACTTTGTTATTGCAGATGTGTACATGTCGACAGTCAGGCTAGAAAATCACTCAAGTGAAGCAATCGTACAAGGCTATATATAGCAGGTACAGGAGACCAAAATTTTTCAATTAAATATGGCGGAATCGAAGAAATATGGCGGACAAAGGCGTACAGGAATGTAGTAAGTCGTACAAAGATGAAAAAATGAGGGCTTTTTAAGAGTTCATGTCAGCTTTAAGCAAACAGGTATGAAAACAATGCAAAATCCATAGGCGCAATGTCCAAGCGATAAGTGGGTTATTGAGGCATTGCAGGAGTTAATCATTAAAAACGTTAATTTTTCCATTCTTATACTACCATTTGAAAACCTTTGTCCTTTGTACATATAGGCAATTCCAAGTAGCATCTATTCTCTTTTATATAGACAGTTTCCTATATACACATAATTTTTAGTAGCACGGTGCTCCATGACGTTCAATAGAGTTTCCATTCCTGGCTTTGTTTTAACGCGTTAATAATTTATAAATGGGTATAAAACGGTCATATACCCTACAATTTAATTCAAAATTCATGCTCTGTGAAGGATGTTTTATCAAAATAAAATAGCTGTATATTTCTGAGGATCACCGAAAAACACCATTTTTTTGTATATATTTATTGGAAATTAGGTAAAAATTTTATCTGGAGAGTTTTACCGGTTTCCTGGAAATAGCGCGCTTTTCTAACTCTCGTATTTCATTCATTTGCTACATTTTTACTTATACCGAATTTGAAAAATAAAATCATAATTTTATTCAAATTATAAATTTAATAATTGCTGAAAAATTATACATGAATATAATGTATCAAGGTTTCGGCACTTTTCCAGTGTCGTTTTAAATACTCAATGCTCGATCCTTTTAATAACGTAATCAATCGTATATGATGGAGGAAAAATAGATCGATAATTTATTTAAAGGTTTTTCTAACATTCAAGACCTGGCTTGTTTTATTTTTAAATCTTTCGGGATCGATCTGGATTTACTGTAAATTACTTTTCCTTTCCGCTTTGCTTTTATTTCATATTTTTGTACTAGAGTGATAATGATTAACCGATCCACTTGATCGCAGCCAGAAACAGCTGGTAAGTTAGATAACTTGGTACACTTCCCGACACACCTGTAACTGTTGTTGTCATTATTACAGGTGTAAACAATTCACTCATGTAGCTAAGGTGTTAACATTACGTGTAATTTTCGTAAATAATACTGATTTTCAATTTATAATCTACATCCTCCGTGCTTGCTTGATAAATTAATATATATCCGCAAAATTCTGCAGTCGGTTCTAGATTTTAATACGAATATGAAGGCACTGGTGTAGCAATATTTTTATACTATTATTTATCATATAAAAATGTCATGCAAGGTTACCTCCCTTGAATAATTTTAAAATATCCAAAATTAATGTATATTTCTCAAATTAATAATTTATTAGCAAAATAGCTTAAACAATATTATATAATTAATACTAACTTAGGCCTTTTAAAATTTTATCAGTAAAATAAAGAAAATTTGAATATGTTTAGATTTAAATTAATGAGAAGAAAAATCCTAAACACTTATTGTTATACTCTCGTTTTAATTATAATTTATACGCGAAACCACTTGAACGATAAATAGTGGTTCTAGAAGAAGTGATTTTTGAACGCCAACGGGAACACCGCTGGCTAAAGTATCAAGAACAATGTAAGAGTGGAAAGAATTTACGATAGAGACAGTAGGGACGAATGTAGTTTAATCCCAATTTGTAGCAATTGAGATGTTCAAACGTGTATTTAAACAAAGAAATAAAAAACGGAAGAATGAATATGATGGATGATGGTATATTATGCCTAGGGACATGCAATTTACAGAAGGCACATTATCAAAGTTACGACAACTAGTATGGGTATATCGATAGGAAAAGGATCGGGTCATCGGTAAAAACATAAATAGAGACCATGCTGGTTAAAATGTCCAAATTCACGAAGCGCTGTTACTTTATTGAAACTGCAAGTTTTTCACAATACTACAGTACTTTACTTATAATATAAAGGACGACATTTGTAGGTCGAATATTTAAAACAATCTCGGTTGATCATTCTCTATGCAAACCGATACAAGAAAAATAGGAAATAGAGCATGAGTTATCTATCTTACTTAGTTAAATAAATATTAATTTATTTCAAATTTTCATTTAAACTCTTATAATTTTCAAAACTTTTATATACGAGTATAAATTAACTCTGTTTATAAACAAAATTTATTAAAAACTAAGATATTATATTGAAAATACTTACGTAAAACATTCAAATGATTATAAACACACTTTAATATTACTAATAAAAAATTTCTTATAGTTTGATATTTCACTTCCGCAGTAATTGTTCTTGAGAAGAAATTCTTTGCATGACAAGGTACGCCCTTGCCTAATAGCAAACTAAGAAAGTAGAACTTATTATACCTGTTATGTCCCATAAATTGCTTTTAATGTAAATTTTAAGCCAATCCTTAAGAAATATGACATCCGGACTAGAACTTCATGAAGCTGCCTCTGTTGGTGATTATGATACATTAGAGGAGCTTATATTTAGCAAGAAGATTGACATAAATCTGAGGGACCCTGAATGGAGGGACAGAACAGCTCTGCACTGGGCCAGTGCTAAAGGTATCACAAATGCAATCAATTTAATATACCTCCCTGGAGTTGCGCCTTCTGGAACCTGTTTTACAAAAAAAAAAAAAAAAAAAAAATGTGTGATTAAAGATCAAAATGTTTTTAATATGTAAAAAAAAAAAACTTTCATTACTACATAGCTGCAGATGTGTAACGTTATGGTTTTATATATTTGTTTTTATGACCATAACAATTTCAACAATGCAAAAAGTTTTGCAATTTACAACCAACTATTTTTTGCGCACTTTTGGGGAGAATTTCTTTTCCAGCATCGTCAATTAACTACCTTTCACTCCCCAAATTCTATCACATTATTTAAATTTTTGTATTTAAATTTTCTGACATAAATGTTTTATTCAAACTTGTATATATGTATACCTCGATCCCTGCAGGTTACGTTGAATGTTTGCGCCTTCTCCTGGACCACGGCGCTGATGGACTAGCCCGAGCAGACATGAACTGGACCCCAGCACACTTCGCGGCCGAGACCGGGAAACTGACGGTACTACGGGCCCTCGTGGTGGCAGATGTACCCATATACAAGCGGGATAAGTACGGGGATAAACCTGCAGATGTGGCTAGGATGTACGGATTTCAGGACTGTGTCAAATATCTGCAGCAGTAAGACACTCTAACATTGCTACTAAAGACTATATTTACACCATAAAAAGTTAAAAACTTAAATAACATTTATGTTTATGCGATAGGAAAAGTGTGTACTGACTTTTCAACTTTTAAAAAAAATTATTTAAAGGAAGGGGTACTACTCTGTCCCAAACTCAATGTTCTGTCACTTGAGAAAACCCTTAAGTATGATTTGTAGACAAAGTTCTGTTCGTTTTATATAGATTTTTTTTCTTACAGAGAAGAGTTAAATCAAAAACAGAAAAGAGTGCAGAAAGGATTACCAGACAATTCAGATGACGAGTCCTCTTCAGAACCGTGATTATATAGACCATGGTATAGAGGAGCTATACTGTATATATAAAAAAAAAATTGTGTTCACAAATGGTATTACAGTGTATTATCAAAAAAGTGCTGCATATGTTGAAAAACTGAAATCAAAATGTGTGACGAATTCCAGAGAAAAAAAATCAAATTTTATTTTCTCATTTTATATTTTTTCAAGATTTGTTTTGATACATGAGCCCGGAAAGGCATTATGTGTGTAATATGTTTCTGTTTGTGTAATGGTCGCGGTTACAATTGTCCACTTGCAACAGGTTTTGTCATTTCTATTATATACCAATATGAAACTTTCTGTTATAAGTAGGGATGTCAAAATATTAATTTTCCTTAGAACATTCGATTGCATTATTCGAACGATGGTCGACTATTCGAGGAGCATTTATTTAATTTCATATATATATATATATATATATATATAGCACAGTGTTTTTGAAAGATTATTAATTAAAATAAATTGGAAAAATGAAATATATTGGAAATAGCGAATTGTAAACACACACTACACACATCTCCGATGAAAATGTTAAATACTCTTTGTTCAATTAATAATTGCCCAAGCTATATATCAAATTGTCTTTTATGTAAGATTATTGTTATAATAATTATCGAACTTTAAAATTTCACGGCTATGAAAAAAAGCATTTGAAATTTTTTATAAATAAATAATTGGTACAAGTCAATTATTGAATTTAATTTTCACAGATTTGTAATTTACTATACAATCACAAAAAAGTCAGTGATTGAAAATAATTATTGAGGTAAGTAATTACTGTATATTCAATGTGTGTTATGTTGTGTTTGAGCTCTGTTTGTGTAATGACGTACAGTTGCAAATAGTTTGAGGAAGGACCAATTTTGAGATGAAAATTTCATTATCAGGTTTTCTTGCATTTATTTAATATTATATACCAATATGAAACTTTCTGTTATAAGTAAGTAATTATTATTTTGATGCTTTATATGAAGCATAAATATGAAAATTTTTCAACTGAGAAAATCTTTACACAAGTCATGAGTGTAATATAGAAATGGTGTTCCTCGAGTACATAGTGCATTTTCTGCACACAATCACAAATTGCTGTATGTACATGTAATATAAATATATAAAATATTTTATACTTTTTTTTATCCATTTGTTAATACTTTTATTTATTTATATTTATAACAGTTATTATGCAGTGTATTTTCCCCATCTCATTGAGATTTTGTAATAAAAACGTCAAGTTTTATTTTTTAATTTTTTAACTGGCAGCCATTAGACTTTTAAATTACTGCCAGATTTACCTCCCCTTTTTGACAAGCTTGGATATTTTTACAGTTGGGCTGTTGGAGGCCTAATTCAATCATTGGCCACTATTATCACTTTCAAATTTTATCGGCAACTTTTTGTCTGCCTTTGATACTCTGTAGCTTAAAATCCGTTTTTATAGTCAGTAACTCTGTGTTGCTTTTGCATTTTTTACCATCATCAATATCAATTTGTCTGCCATGTCTACCTTTATCACTCCATACAGTGTAGTTAGAGACTCCTTGTTGCATTTTATCTTCAGCACAGTTAGTGTACTAAGAAGTACGAGTATAATGGTGAAGTCTAGCTATGGTGAAGTTTAGCTATGGAAACCCCAAATACCTTTTGTTTGTTAAGTAAAACACAAGGTGCACAATGGCACTATGTTTTAAAGATTCTTTGAAAGGTTCATTTAATTTGATTCAGTGTCATGCTATAGAAGGAGAACCAGATAAGATGGGTGCCCCTATAAGTAAAATGGCAGTGTCCATGTTTTGCTTTGGGATGTAACAGGAGAGGAGAAAATGCAGCAGAGCAGACCGAGATTCGAACCCAGGCCGCCTGCAACTCCGGTCAGGTGTTCTACCAATTGAGTTATCTGGCCACCGGCGATCGAACCCAGCTGACCACCACAGGGAAACCCCCAATATCTGTCCAATCAATTCAAAATATATGAGGTGCACAATGGCATAATGAAATAATTTGTGAAAGCCTTATTAAATTTTATTCACTGGTATAGGATTTGCAGATAAGAGATAGAAACCAATTATTGCATGTTCTTGAAATAATCCTCCATCATTACTAGTTATTCATTATATACCCCTACTTTTCAAGCCAGTTAAAGGGAAGGGAGGGGGTATATAAATTATGCAGGGACAACCTAATATATAATCTATAAAACAAAGAAACTGGGATGGAGGTTGTGATTTTAATTTAAAAGTCAACAATTATTGCACACAGTTCCATTTACTAACTTATGATGATAAGTAACTGAAGTCATCTTGACAAAGAAGAGGAACTATGTCACACATACAACTTGCCTGAAGCCATAAAAAGAACATGAAATATTAACAGGTTTATAGTTCATATTTTATTCTTGATAATCGATATTCAAAATCTTATACATGTACCTAAAATATCTCAAAGATAATACATTTCATTAAACAAAACAAAATTTACAATGATGACAAAGGATGGAAATCTACATCAGCAATTTTTTCAGTTATTTTTCACCCATACATCACAAACTCTGACATTTTACACTTTATTTTCTTTTTTTAAATACTTAATTTGCATAATTTAAAATCTGAGGTGTGAATTCTGTGTCTTTGCACATGATTCACAAGCACTATATTATATAATCACAGCTGTACCAAGGCTCATGCCAGTCAAGTTTTTTTTGTAATAACTTTCTCTATCCAGGGCCCAACTTTCTCATAGATAAATCCTTCTCAGGTCCCGAGCTGCTGTTATCATATTGCACTGTGGACATAACTTCTTTGCACCCTGAAAAAACCATAGTAAAAAACTACATTAATTGCATATCCAAACAAAGTTTTTTTTCATTTATTTTTTGAATCAATCAAAGAATTTTAGACTGGTAAAATTAATGTCCTTTTCTAGAAAGTTTTAAATACTCAACCTGATGATATTCTAAAAATGATAAAATCACTGAGGTCCGAGGGACTTTTTCATGTATAAATTACTTACTAAAGTTTTTAGCCAGCAGTTTTCACAATGCACATGCCAACACTGAATGGAAGCCAATGGGTTTGTGTATGGTTCCTAAAACAGGAAAAGACATCTATATTTCGAGGAAATCAATGTTTTATTTAAACCTTTTCTACTGGGCAATGACAACATTACCAGGAAATTGAAAATGTTTAAGAAGCCTTACCATACAAATAAGACATTTTGATTTATCCTTCTTTGCTGCTCTCTCTTGGTCCTTGATTTTTAGTTTTAATGCAGCAATGACCTCTGATGCAGAACCGGAGAATGTTTCTGCACTACAATGGAAGATGGAGAATATAACGGGTTTAAAAATATTTGAATGGTAATACAAATGGACGACATTTAAGGAATGAATTTAACAGCTACCCATTTTATATAGTTTTAACTGGGTTGGGGACAAATTACCCTTTATAAAGAGCAAAAACATTGTCAATCCTACTTTATGCTAAACAATTTAGTTTTTTAGATATTTTATAACTAAGCCTTTAATTACTGTAGGTTTTACTGACTGACCTATTCTGTGTGTAGATGTCTGGTCCACCCTCATCTGGGCTGTCCGAGTCAACTTGATAATCTAGAAAAAAATAGGTACTAGTACTATAAAGTTAACTAGAGCAAAAAAACATACTTTCTTTGAGAATATGCTAATGAAGATATAAATTTTTTTCATATGAACCATTAATATGAATCATATCTTCAAATACATGTACAGTATCTATATGATTCATTGTCCCCCTGTGTTATCAAATTTCATAATAAAACTTACCTGTATTTACCTCAGCTGTCCAGGATGAGGAGCTGTAAATAAAAAAGATGCTCACTTTAAACAAAAACCATTACAAGGTGTGATATTCTGTAATTTATACAAATCTTACAATATTTATACCATCTTTACCGCAGTATAACTCAAAACCAGAACAAGGTGTGATATTCTGTGATAGATTCAATCCTTTAGGATATCATACAATCCTTACCCCAGTATAGCCCCTCAGATCCTTAAAGATATTACAATTCTTACCCCAGTATGGCCTCTTACCCTAGTATAGCCCCTCAGATCCTTTAATACATGTATATTACAATGCTTACCCCAGTATGGCTCCTCGGAGGGCCGCCCTCTCTTTGTCCTCACCAGGTTCCTCAGAGGAGCAAGGTATTATGTCCGCCTCACTAAATCTTATCTAATTAAGGCAAATCAAAGAATAGGGCACTTCTATTAAATCAATTTCATATGTATGCTTCAATTCATTTCTGAAAGTGATACAACAAATGTATTATGACCAAAGCATTCCACATTGAGTTCAGTCTACAGTCTAAGGGAGACAATTTAATTGCCATCTTTGTAATAGCATAGTTCTCAACACACTGATTGAGCTGTGTAACAAAGTTCATTTTATGTGTTTAATTTTAGACAAGAAGCTTTAAAATCTTACATCCCCTGAAGCAACCCCTTTATAATTTAGACTGCATGTGTTTTAACACATGAAAGGATACTGAGGTGCTCCGTACTGTTTGGAATCATCACCGTCTACATCTAAATCTACATCTTCGTCCATGTGTCGCTTACTGCTATACGTCTGGAAACCAGAACCTGAAAAATTAAATAATGGGCTTCATTATCTAAACTGTCAACTGGCAGTATCGAGCTTGGGTACTTCAATTACTGACATGTTTAAATATTTAAGCAAGTTTTAAAAATATTACAAATTTAGTTATCAGTTTTTGAACCACAACGATTATCTCAACAAAATTTCCACAGTTCTGATATTTTCACACTGACATATCCAGATACTGTTTTCAGTTATATTGATTATGTTGTTATCATTACAAGCACCCCTCTCCCCAGTATCTATTTATAGTACTGACCTCCCAGGCCCCCCTGTAACAGTGATGTGGCTCTGATTCGGGTCTGCCCCGCCCAGGTGTACTCCTCACACTGCTCATCTCCCTCTACATCCACCGGCTCATCCTCATCCGATTTCTACAGAATAAAAAATCAAACATAAGGGCTGTAAGAGTAATCTCCCTCTACATCCACCGGCTCATCCTCATCCGATTTCTACAGAATAAAATCAAACATTAGGGCTGTAAGAGTTAAATCCCTCTACATCCACCGGCTCATCCTCATCCAATTTCTACAGAATAAAATCAAACATTAGGGCTGTAAGAGTAATCTCCCTCTAAAATCAAACATTAGGGCTCCACCGACTCATCCTCATCAAACATTAGGGCTGTAAGAGTTAAATCCCTCTACATCCACCGGCTCATAAAATCAAACATTAGGGCTGTAAGAGTTAAATCCCTCTACATCCACCGGCTCATCCTCATCGGATTTCTACAGAATAAAATCAAACATTAGGGCTGTAAGAGTTATCTCCCTCTAAATCCACTGACTCATCCTCATCAGATTTCTACAGAACAAATTCAAACATTAGGGCTGTAAGAGTTATCTCCCTCTACATCCACCGGCTCATCCTCATCCGATTTCTACAGAATAAAATCAAACATTAGGGCAGTAAGAGTTAACTCCCTTTACATCCACCGGCTCATCCTCATCCGACTTCTACAGAATAAAAAATCAAACATTAGGGCTGTAACAGTTATCTCCCTTTACATCCACCGGCTCATCCTCATCCGATTTCTACAGAATAAAATCAAACATTAGGGCTGTAAGAGTTATCTCCCTCTACATCCATCGGCTCATCCTCATCTGATTTCTACAGAATAAAAAATCAACACATAACTAGGGCTGTGGGTTTTTCAAAGAGTTTTTCCATATAAAAATATGTATCAAACACCAATTATGAAATTTTTATTCCAGTGACCTTGAACTTCCCCACATCCACACCCTTGGGTCATGGGCAATCTTTCAGTGAAATGAGAACCTACCAAGTTTATCCATAAGAAAGATATGGACCGGACACGAATTATGATATTTTTCTTCCAGTGACCTTGAACTACCCCAAATGACCTTGGGTCAAGGTCATGACACACCCTTGGGTCATGGGCAATCTTTGTGTGAAATGAGAATCTACCAAGTTTATCCATAAGAAAGATATGGACCGGACATGAATTATGATATTTTTCTTCCAGTGACCATGAACTTCCCCAAATGACCTTGGGTCAAGGTCATGACACACCCTTGGGTCATGGGCAATCTTTGTGTGAAATAAAAACCTACCAAGTTTATCCATAAGAAAGATATGGACCGGACAGGAATTAAAAATTTTCTTCCAGTGACCTTGAACTTTCCATTACCTTGGGCTCATGACACATCCTTGGGTCATGGGCAATCTTTGTGTGAAATGAGAACCTTTTATCTATAAAAGATATGTATCAAACATGATTTTTGAAAATTTTCTTCCATTGACATCCATCGGCAAGGTCATCACACCCTCATCTGTGTGATTTCTACAGAATAAACTTTCATCATTTAGGGCTGTAAGAGTTATCTCCCTTGTAACACAGTCTTAATAAATCAGTCTGGTAATTAAAACCTCTACCACAATACCGTTTGATAATACTTCTGGTAAGTGATATGGAACAATAATCACATTTATAAAAAAAATAGCGAACAGTACTAATGATTTCCATGTACAACCTTTGAAATTTAAAACCATTTTTAGATACAATGTATTTTTATGCGGTCTGTATCAAATATAAACAGAGTCCTTACCCTTTTTAGGCAGATTTCCACGTGAGCATTGAGTTCCTCTGGTGACCCTACAACTCTTTCATTACACACAGGACAAACAGTTTCATCTGGACGTTTCTTACGGTTCCTACTTCTAGCTGCAAACAAAATCAAAATAATTTTATTATAACAGAGATGAGATTGTTTTAACCAAAAAAAAAATTTCAGGTTTATTGCTTATGATTCTCCAATTGTTTTTCATTTCGGTTGTTTTTTTTCTCACTTAATTATGTAATTTGAACTACCTGAAACAAGCATTATACATATATTTCTATTTTCATTTGAGCAGAAAGATGCAAGACTAGTGCTCATGATTTTCATTGAAATTTAAAAAAAGAAATATTCTACATTTTTATTTTCTGTGCTACATTTTACTTGGAGTGAAGTAAGTGAAGTCTATGAAATGCATGGCATTTTTTCCTCTTGTATTGGCTAGAAAATATTAGAACAACACATACTACAGCAGACTAATATCTAGTTTTTATTTCCTATTATTTCTGATAAGCAATGTTCCCTGCAATACGGCAGCCAGTTAAATCACATGAAAGCCATTATATTATTTTAGAACACGCCTTCCGAGGGTAAATAGAAATTCTTCGGAATTTTAAAACTCACCACTAAGTCTTGATTGGCGATTGCACTTGATTCGCATGTATGTCTGAAATAAAAAGAAAAAGAGCTTTATGTGGTTAGCATGAGCTGGCCCGACACCTTTCACAATAATGATTTGTTCCGGCAATTAACTCTAAATGAGAACCAACTATTTTTTGCAATGAGGCAGAAATATACGATCAACGGTGACTGTCTCCATTTCAACGATTTGAAAGAGATACCATTGATAGACTATCAGCCCCAAAAATCTTTTTCAACTGTGAGGACAAAAAATCATCTAACAATGAACTGGGACTATTGTGAAATCTACCAAGATCACGGGGTTATACTGTTTCAAGGCAGACCGTATGATTTACACCTAAGAGAGATTCAAAAAACAAAACCTCACTTCTCCATAAATAAAATAATCACAAAAACAAATTATTTTCTCTGATCAATTTCTACTTGTCAAATTTTGAAAACTATAAGTGATTTTTCCATTTGAAGGTTTCACCCCTACAGCAATCGCACAAACTACATAATCGACTGACACATCTCGGGCGTAATGACATTGGAACAATGATATCAAAAACATCAGCTAGAGTTTTTTTATTCAAATTTTCAAAAGCATCTCTATAGAATTTGCGGATAAAAAAACAAATGCACACACTCAAAATGACAGCCAAAAGGTATCAGTGGTGAGATATCAAAATATCAAATGCGGAACAGATCGACAATGGAGACACTATGATGTGAATCAAATTGGCCGTGGGTGATCGTCCAAGGCATACAGCGTCCTCGAATTTCCTTACCGCCTCTCTGCGACAGGCACGTCATCTGTTGCTGCCATATAATTGGTCGCAGAGAGAAACCTGGGAGTACCTAGTTTGAAATCGGACAAAAAGCTCCTAAGCAGGGTGATCTATATACCTGTCAAAGAACCGGCTCCCTGATATTCAAATTAAAACTTCTTAAGTGTTATAGATTGCAGGGGAAGACTTGACTCTTTTTGGACATGTCATCATGCTAAAGTGTAATTATGATGCAGTCATGCCATCTAAACAAAAAAAAAGAAACCTGGGTTCAAAAATTGATGACGTTATTAATCATCCACTAAAAACTTCAAACAAGATGAGTATCCCCAAAATTTTCTTCAAAAGAAATCTCCAAAATAAAATATGAGGGTTTGCATAATTTTGTATAGTTTTCAACATGGTCATCAATTTTTGTTTTCAAAAGATGAGGAAAATCTTTCAAAGCGGCTATCAAAATACAAGGAAAAAAGTTCAAAAATACAAAATTTCTATGACTAATGCATAGGAATTTAAATAAAATGTCACTCCATAGAGCAGAAGGCTTGAGGTTATAATGAGGAAATCCATCAAAGTCTGCGAGATATGATATACCCTTGTATACAGCAAAATAAACAGTGACTGAAACTTGTAATCACCTAAACAATGAATTTGGATATTATTTACATTCTTCCCTATAGTGATAATACTTCCCACTTATTCAATCAAATCTTCTGGAAAAATTACTTATACATTAAGTAATTCCTTAGCAAATTTGAAGTAACTAAAAATTCTGGACATTAAGTTACCCTCAGGAACAAAATGACTTTGATGTCAATGGGATCAAACTTGTATCTACATCAATCAAAAATATTTGACCAACTATGTTTGACAATATGGAGGCTCTAATCCTTGTAATCCCATAATGTACTGGGAGAGTAACAGCTTAGAGAAGTTATCCTCCTGTACTGTGGCTGTTCCTCATTGAAGTCAAACATGGCCATTCCATCTTGATAAAGGGTCCATAAGGTGTTGCAATGCCTTAACAATGGACTGGGGATATTGGCCTGACTGGCCACATTATCTACATCATTATTTCTCCATTAGCTAGAAGCCGACTTGGTTAGGGGTTTCAGGATTTCAAAAGAACTAGGGGATCTATAAGACAATGAGCTCTCACATGGGCTTCAAAAGACTTAAAACTTCTTTTGGTTGATAACTTTTACTCCTTTTACCAAGTTCATCTCTATACCCTTACAAATTGGCATGTCTTTGTACTTGTCAACTGCTTAACTTCTCAAAGTGAAGTTTTCACATTGTTTGGCCTTTTGATTTCCTTTTGAATTTCACCGCCTGGGATTGGGTGCAGGCACTTTGTAACTGCAAACTCGTTTCACAGTTGTGTCAATAAAACTTTCAATCAAGTGACAGACCCTAACATTAGAAATTGTATTTGCAAAGTAAAACAGGGTGCTTTTGTTAATTAGTATCATGAAGGATGTATTATACACCCTGAGTCTTAAAAGTGGTAAAATTACAATAATTGATGAAAAAGTTTGTTTGAATGCGAGGGGCACTGCTTGCCAATATATGATTGATTATCGTTTAATTACAGCCTTTTGATAATAGGATTTAACCGTAACCTGCCCTCACCAGAGAGGCAAATTCACAGAGAAATAAATAATTCACAACACTTCATTTCAAACATCTTATATTAAGTTTTTCAGAGGTACCCGATCCCTCCCCTTTCTATTATTCACTGCTCTCTTTACAATGAATGACAAAAGAAAATCTTTTGTGGAAAATTTTTTCAAAATTACAATTATCCTTATAAGCAAGCGTGTTTATTCTGTCCATAACAACTCAAATCAATGACTGTAAAACGAGCAATTATGCTCTGAACTTTCTCAGTTTTCAATGCATGTTCTCGGTTCGTCTTTTACACATCCCTTTCTTCAACAGTCCCGTATTTCTATATATTGATTCTTTGAATGCTGAGTACATTGATTATGAACAGGTCTAGTTTTCGTACACTGTAATTATCAGCTGATTAGGAGTGCACACTAAACTCCCCATCAATATATAAACCCCTTCTGACTTGGGCTAAAGCTATTTATCTTTGTGTAAAGGTGAAATATTTGCAAGTTCCTCTCTTTCAGTTGTAATTCTTTACATTGTACCTGAAAAAATATATGCACTGGAAGATTTTTCTTAATTCAATTGATGAGTTGGTATTTATCTAGACTGATCATTCAAATGAAAAATGTTATGTCATATTAAATTAATCAAAATTATTTGTTATAATACACATATTTGTTTGTTCTACTGAAAAATGATAAAACAGTTAAAAAGACCAAAATCTAAAATATCAATAAAATTTAATGTTAACTTAAAAAAAAAAAATCATTAATCACTTAAGCGAAATTTCATGGCACAATGATTCACATAAAAGTGACTTCTTATTTACGTAATCAAGTAATTCTTATATCAAATTTAATGAGTAAAATTGAGTAGGAGTGATGGGCCTTTTTTAATCTTAATAAAACCCCCCTGATTATCAGCACATACATACACAGAATCTGTGACCCCAAGCACTGACCTTCTCTGTCTGATCTCAACATAAAACACAAAAAACCAAACTTGCAAGAATCAAGAAAAGGACATGAAAATTATTAAACCTTTGGCACAATCTAGACTGAGAGATACAATCAGAAATTGTGTTATGTAGCACTCACAACATATACAATATAACCATTAATTTTGTGCTTATGGTACTCAGAGCACACACCACACTTAAATCAAATGTAGACTGAGAAACAAAACCCTAAATCTGTGTCTGTAGCACTTTCAGCACACACCAACAACCACTGAATCTGTGCCCTCCGGCACTCTCAGCACACGCCAACAGCCATTGAATTGTGTGCCATGTAGCATGCTCAGAACACACCAACAACCACTGAATCTGTGTCTACAGCACTTTCAGCACATGCCAACAACCACTGAATCTGTGCATTGTAGCACCCTCAACACAAATCAAAAGTCACTGAATCCGTGCACTGTAGCATTTTCAACAGAAATTAAAAGTCACTAAATCTGTGCACTGTAGCACTCTTTGCAAATTCCAACAGCCACTGAATCTGTACACTGTAGCACTTTCAATACATATTAAAAGTTACATAATCTGTGCACTGTAGCACTCTCAGCACACCCAATACTTACATCATATCTGGACTGGGATGCTGCCTCAATAGATGGGGAGTCCTTCCTCTGTCTGTGGGCAGATGGAGAAGTTAAAGTCTGAATAACAAAAGAGGAAACCAATTAAAATAGGAATCTTAAAAATAAATCAAAAGCATGCATAACTAAGAATGACAAATCATGTAATATTTGTCATATATAGGACTATAGTATATGAAATGGACCATATATTAACAATTATAGATTGCAAGATATCAGCATCTTAAATCTTTACTAACTTATTGTCACAAGTAAATCAAATCCTACAACATTAACAAATTTGACATACCGGTAATTTCAGTACATGTACTTTCACACTCTTTAAAAGCACACTTTAATTACTATAATTTTTTTTTTTTTAATTTGTAAAATCAGACTTCTATCTATTATTACACTAGTATATTTTCATTTCAAAGTACATTTAACAAACTAAATAAGTTTCTTTTTCCCAGGTATCAGAATATTTCTCCTATGACTAATGTGATGTGCATCATTGTCATTTGATACACATAGGTTTCCCTACTACAGTCATAACAAGGTTAACATGAAATTTAATCAGACTATTTCTATCTCCACACTCAGAAGAGTGACTTCTAAGCATAGATCAGTTCCTAAATTTCTATACCATGATGGATTGGTACACACCGGGGTAACTCTACCTGTCCATCAATTATTGCCTGGTCACGCCCCCTCATCCATAAAGATGCAATTTCATCATATGCAGTGCGAGTATTAAACACCGAAACTATTATCCAACAATTATCTTGGAGCATTCCTGAGAAGCTTGATTTTAAAATGACCACAATAGAATCTGATTACCAAATTTGATGACTAACTTTACAAGAACCAAGCTTTAATTTTCAGAAATTTGCAACAACCTAATCCCTAGCTTGCCGACAGTTACAACAAGTCTTGACAACAGTTTCCAATATCCCATGACATGGATTAAAATTTGTAAACAGAATGAATGCAGTTTGAAGCATAGGATTCTAACTAAACCTCACGTTTATTCAAAATCAAAAGAAAATAAAAACTGTCTGAGATACACTAGACTATAATTAGGAGGTCGTCCACATTTATTTACAAATAAAACTCCTATAAAGTATGCTTAATTAGGCAATGTGATACAGAACAGCTATTCAATGTTAGTCTTCTACTGCTAATTCCTCATAGCCTTCATCATTATGTAGAATTTAAGTTCAGTGGGATTAGCAACTTGTCTGCAAAATGACTGTAATTCAATTCTGATTGTTTACTGTCTCAAAGGGTGCCAAGGTTCTACCCACATCACTTGGATATGCAGAAGTTGCTAATATGCCATACAAAGGAGAAGATTTTTCATATTATGTAAAATTTTCTTTGATATTTTAGCTTTCTCATTTTAATTCTTTTATTGTTGCAGAAGAATTACATGTTAATAAAAGATGAAAGCATCCACTTGCATTTTATAAAAGAAGATATGGTTGCAAGCACATATCATGATGAAAATGTAATAAAAGTAAAATATTGAAATATAACTATTTTCTTTCTGACAAAAAAAGTTTATTTGTAGGAAATTGGAGTCAAGAGATTATTTGTATGAAATTGGTGACAAAATTTAAAACAATTTTTGGTCAAAATGAAGTTTGGGATCCAATGATTACCTTTCTTCCCTGTGGAGTTGTGTCCCTTGACCTTCTACCACTTCTAAAAATACAAGAAAAAAGCTCTTTACAATTAGGTTTGAATGACTGGCAGTGAAACAAGATACACTGAGCAGTACTTTGATCAGATTGATTTGATTGGCTGAGTAATCTGTTGCAGCCTAATTTGATTGGTGGAATAATCCATCAGTCTGACAACCTAAAATTACTTCTGTCTTTGCCCAGTGCAGAGACAGAAGTTTGTTTGTCTGCAATTGTAAACATAACTCAATTTGGATCAACTGACAATTACTCAGGTTTGTCATCTCTGAACTACCCTTTCAGCATCCATCAACAAATTACCCCAGCAGCAGACACATTTACAGAAAGAGTATATTTCTGCAAATGTCACCCAAACTGATGCCTATCAGTAGGGGGTATGATTGAACTGCAGCCTAATATAGTTTGAATCACTCCTTATATAGTTATAGATCCACATAAAGAAAGACTGAAAGAAAGTGATGATGAATTCTTCCAGGTAATCATTTACAAATGTTTAAGTGATGAAGACACTGATTTTGTGGGTCAATTACTGGACCACACTGAACTCTCAATTCCATTACTGGAATTCAACAAGTACTTTATTCCATATACTGAAGTTTGAGATAACAAAGTTCAACTGTAAAATTATACATTCAAATTCATAGGGGAAAAAATAAAGTCCTACACTATGTGTTATAAATTACCTCATGATTTTCTCCAGTCTGTCCACCTCCAGAGCGATGTGGGTGTCCACCTCCCCACTCCTCAGGGTCAGTCCACAGATAGGACAACATGGGGTCTGCCCATCTAAGGCACTCCTCTTTCTTAGCTCTAAAAATATACAATTGGTACTCTTGAATATTTTATACTTGCAAAAAATCTGAAAATATACTTTTTCCCTTTTTTCTTACCTGTTGCATGAAGCCAGAATTGGTATTTTAAAATATTTTACATTTCTTTTAGAATTTTGTCTGAAGTTTTAGATTTTTCCCCTCAACACAATTGAATTGTAAGTTTTACAATAGCAATGTCTTACTGGTTAATATGTAAATATCATATTAAGTCTATACAAACAAAGCTCAGACTGAATCCGTTTTATCAGCTAATTGCAAATGTCTTTTCTTTCAGCATTTTCCCAACACTTTTCTGCGCATCAACTCTAACCCCTCAGTTCCACAATTCTACAGATAATCCAAGGAGGAAAATTCATCAAATTGCCACTTCTGTGTTTGACAATACTGAATCAAAATCTGACTGCTCGGATTTTCACAAACTCCAATTCTACAATATATCTGTTTATAAACAGACAGACCACTAATCTGTATTTTAGAGATACAGACAGAGAAGATTATATACACATCTTATAAATGTGATGACACACTGAATATGCCATTCAAAAAAGTCAGGCTTAAATTCTCTATTTTTTTGTAAGTACTGTTGCAGCTGATGGCAAGAAAGAGACATTAAGAGGGAGAAATGGAGAACATGACAAAAAAATAAATTTTTTGCTTGGACCTTGCCAATTTTTTTTTTTTTTTTTGATTCTTCAAAGTGCCAGTATAAGCTCAAGATTTCAAAAAAATTACAGTGTCGAATTTTCTTAAAGCTTGTATGTAAATAGTCCCCGTCTTTATGTAAATTTGAGTTTCAATCTTGGACCTCAAATCCTCACTTCTTATTATTAATAAGTATCAATCTTAATTCTGATAATAACAACGATTACATATTATACCTGTGAAATCAAAATAATGCAAGTGATACAAGGCAATCACAGACAGACAATCAGACAGGCAGATGTTGATAAAGAACTCTAAAAGTACATAATAAAATTACAATTGTTTAATGTGAAGTACTTTCTCTATTGATAAATAAACCTGTCAAATTCTCTAAACAGAAAACAAATATTGGGTACTCTTACGGTACTAGACTGATCATAAATCTTGTGGTTTCAGACTTTTTAAAGTTGTGATGAAAAAGAGTTCTTTGGAGTAGCACGAAATCTTCTTCACAAAATCACGGTCTTATTGACTCAAAAAACTATGGCACTTGTTTGACTATACTTTCCCCTTATTTGCGATCTTAAATTCTTTGTTTTATTGATTAGACCATCTCGAAAATCTGGGATACCAATAGGACTTGATCATTGATCAATAAAATCTCTCTAAAAATGTGCACCTGTGACTTTATCTAGAAATTGATCTTTGATCTATACACCACCAGTATTATACATTACAAGTTTATCCTCTCTTAATTCTCTTCAAGGCATTTTCTACCTCCAAAATTCACTAAGTACAGGCAAATCTGGTCTTCATGCAAAAATGGATAAGACACAATTTTGCGGGGAGCATTCACAAGGTGGACATTTGAAGAGAGTTTAGGGGGGATTTACAGAAAAACTTTAAAGTCACTAGAACTGCATGGTATTCCTGTCGCTTGGAAATTAAGGAGAAAGTCAACTGTTTGCAGAGGATTTGCACAAGCTTCCAAGTGACACTGATTGACAAAAATCGAGCCATTGTCCCATGATATATGACTTCCAGAGATTAGGTTTGATTTTTTTCAATCTTGTGTGAATTCCCTCTGTTCTCACACATGTTCATGAAAACAAACACCTGATTTTCATATAGTGGGAACTTATCTGATAAATCAAAAATTAAGCCCCAAACAGACAGACAAAGATTTGATAAAGAATTTCAGTCCACAAAATGGTTAAGCAGCTCTCACTGCCATAAGGGGAAAAAAAATCAATTTTTAAATTCAAGATCTCATACATATACTTTAAAATAAAATCTTAAAAATTTAATACCTTTTTTATGGGCAGATATCAAATGATAAAGTTATGCAATACCTAATTCAATGCATAATTTTTTACTTTGTGAAATATCCTTTCTGTTCAGTTTGCCTTCATGTAAAAAGACAGAGGGCAATAGATGACTTGTATTGAGTTCCACCTGATTACTAAGGGATCAAGATTCCGGCACACCCAGCTAGATCCTAGGCTTTGCTCTACGGGGTCAGACTTGCTATTGGTGGGGGAGACAGACTTGAAGCTTGTCCCGGGGTTCTTAGCAGTATTTGAGAAATGTTTGTTGAAGCTTTGGTGCAGGTAATAAGTGGATTGATGTGCCTAATCTTGGACTACCACTGATTTAGGCTGGCAAAGCCCAGGCCAACTTCTGATCCCTGTAGTATGTCTTGAACTAGACAAATCCCTCTCATTATGTAGTCCAAAGACTAAATCAGGAATACATATGTATACAGCAAACAATGGTCCTCTCTTTATTCTAACATGTCAACACTTAATTTTCCTTCAACTTACATTTACACTGATGCAATCAGAGGAATTAAATCAAAATCCTTTTAAGAGTGCCAGAGATAGAAAATTCAGAAAATTCTATGATGTCTGCTGAATTAACCAAAAAAAAAATCTTAATCTTTCAAGAGTTTATTTTTTTTTATTTTCTGGTAAGACAATCAACCTGGCAAAGGTCTAAAATATTTCAAAACAAATTTCATTTAATCTCTTTCCAGTTATCAAGACCTTTATATTGAAAGCATTCAATAATGTTGTCTTTCAGTGATCAGTTCCTTTATTGCTCCTGTTTTCTTCAATATATCAATCAACTATAAGAATTCTGTCATCCATTTACAATTATCTCTCATAAAGTACAATTTGAAAAAATAAATCTTGGGTCATGACCAAAGTCGATGACTCAAAAAGAATCTAAGATCTTCCAAGTCCATGAAATTGATTCCCATCTGTTAAACTCTATCAACACATAGGTACTAACTCTTGTTCAAATAGCAGTTCCCAATGCAATCAAACAATAAACTACCTCCACACAAAAGAGTTCCCTATGGCTTTTACAGCTATAGAAAGCAGGTTGATTTCCAATCCCATTAAAAGTAAAATAATAAATATTAAATTGACAATGGAGTGCTGGTTGGCAGCTTTCCGTTATGGGGGACTGTAAACTCAACCTTACAATACAGTAGCCATCTAACCACATCAAACATAGAGCACAAAAGTCCGCAGATGTCAAAACCAACATGAAATAGATTAAAAGTCAATCACAGATTTCTCAACAAACTGTTACAGTGTATACTTTAATACACCTTCACAAGGACCAGAATTTAGAATTCCATAGTTTTCAATCATTCTTAATGGGTTTTGAAAATTGCCACAGATTTTCTGTACTTCTCACTCTTGCATGATTCAAGTTCACCAAAAATTAACCTCTAGACCACAACATTTCTATGTCTCCCTTTTTTATGAAAACCTACCAAATGAATATTAAATAATCCTTTTTTTAAAAACATTATCACCATTCCATGCATCAATGATAAATGCTTCCTATTTTTTTCTTTCATTTTTTTTCTATAAAAAAATTCATTGGACAATGTACATATTGCTTGAAGATTTGAGCCAATCTAGATTTAAACAAGACATTCTCCATAGAACTGCCTTTTTCTACTAAAAACAATTTTTTCAGTAATAAGGTCTATAATACTTCAGGGCATCAAAGTTTTTGGAAATCAATACTTCACTCAGTTAATACTGGGGATAACCTTTGATATACCAAGGTAGAAATTCATCACAATTCACCTGACACAACAGGTAAGAGATTGGAAGATATCTGACAGTGACTTAAAGCCAATGGGGGATTAATTAAGATAAATGGTTGTTTTCCAACAGAAATCTTGTCATACAGCTGCAATAGGGATATCTTCCTGCATACTTGCACTCCAGTGAGCTTTAAAGATGTCACAATGTCAATGAGAAGATGGGGGAGCCAACTTATTACATAAAATTCAGGCCTGTATAAGCCACTAGTATCAACCCCTCTCTCCTACAGCGTTTCACTTGGTATTAAAACTTGCACACCCTTACCTCCTTTTTCTGTCTATCTTTTTTTTTTCTTGAGGTACAAAAAAAATGCAGAAAAGTTTTAACTTATTTACAACTTGGTATGGGTCGTTATAAAGGTATTTCATTATAAGCCCATCCACTGTACCTCAAGAAAAAGTTATATTTTAATAATAACTTTTCTGTTCCTAAAATATGACTTAGCCATACATAGATGGAAATAAATTTAAGTATAACTTTTCTGGACTTTGTCATTTTACTGTATAACTTTAAGAAAAGCAAAATAGTTAATAACCCTGGCACTTTGTTATTAAGTGTGTTTTACCGTATTAGTGTTCCTTAATTTGGATGCTCTATAATCTTGTTCCAGAAGAGATATTTGGATGGGAAGGCATATGGAAGTTCTTGAGGGAGTGTGAAGTGCAAAATCTTGTACAACAGCCAGGAATAAGTGACAGTGTCAAATACGACATCAGAGGGATCTTTAAAGTTCCATTGAACACCTGAAGTAGGCTTAGGGGTTCCTAACAGACATAAACACATTGTCATACAAATGGAGAGATCATAGCTCGTTAGAAATGCTCGGAAGCTGTCTGGAAGTTGCCTAGGTAGTTAACAGGTAAATTCTTATTTGATGAGGACTGATGGCCCTGCATCTGTTCCTAGTTCTGACACAAAACTCACTAAATCACAGCACAGTCAATAAAGTTCTCAGCCTGCTTCGACACCACAAAAGCTGACGGAAGCTGAAATGAGCGCAAATCTGCATTCAGCCATTCACGGAAAGCCCTTATTTCTAAACAATATGAGAAACTGTGACCAGCATGGATAACATACATAAAAGGAGTATGATTCTGAATGTTCATAAAAAAGTTTTAATGGACAAAAGAAGAATACGGAAAGAAGCTTTAGGTGAAGTGAAGCAGGGTTCAGAATGGAGTGGAGTCCGGAACACAAAAACATGACGTCCACTTCAAACAATTATGAAGACATATTCGAGAGACACATAATCTGTCTGCCAAAAGAAAAGCAAATCCTTTAACCCCTCTATTATGAAACTCATGCATAAAATCATTGACAAAAAATCAAGATTAAGTGTTATTCCTCATTTTTCTCACTAAAATTGTAAATTGATCTCGGGGCCAAAGCTTATAAACACTGGAAGATTGTTAGAAAAAAATTTCAATTTGACTTTGGCACTTAATGGTAACTCTGCTTGGGTCCGTAATCCTGTGTCATGAATACTGGTTGGGGTGTATTCCAAGAGGCTTTAGACTTGACAAGTCTTTGGAGTTCCTACGCAATTTGGTAAAGTGATAAATACACAGGCCCTAGTCCTATCACCTTTGTTTCTATTGGAGCCTAAGCCTGTATAGCCCACTGTCGTGATAATGACTAAACCCCCATATTCCTCATCGTCACATAAATAAGTGCTTTCCCATCAGATAGAGCCTGAAATTTGAATACCAGGACTCTAGCCTGACAGAAAATAAATTTCCTACTTGCCTCTCCAATACATTCTTGCTAAACCTAAGCAAATAGAAGATTAGGATACTTATTACCCGAACAGGTTTCTAAAACGGAAATACGATGTCTAATAAATATTGCTGCATTTAAACTGTCCGAGTGAGCAGGAAAAATTGAGATAAAACTATGCATTCTTAAATCCCTTTATAAGAATATGAAACAGACCGACTCAGGAAGAAATGTGTATACAATGACTGCCGAAAATCCCAGCTTTTCTGTTATCACTCAGTCCTTGTGGTACTTTCTGTTAGTTCTGCTGACTCCAATATATCAGCTTCTGTGTTATAACTCCATATTTGGTACTCTTAAATCACCCAGAAAGTAATAAACTCATTGCAAAAAGAAATTTAGATGATTTTAATTCTATGACAAACAGACTACGTGGAAAATTTCTAGTTATCAAACAAGAGGCCTGAATAGTTTCTTTCATTTGAACAGCTCTCCTGTGTGAAGTCGCTTATCAATATGATAACTGAAATTTAAGTTCTCTAGCTGTTCTTCGAGCCAAAAAATACCCCACTTCCTTTCACAATTTTACCCATAAAGCTTCCTAGCTGTAAAAAACATGAAGTTCAATAAATTACCAAGGTAACTTGTTTATTCTGTCCAACCTCGCCATTTTCCTTTTACACAACGACAGTAATGAAGTTTTAATCAATTTTCACATTTATTTTTCAGATCTTTATTTGAAAGAGACACTTGAAAATATTTAAATGGGAGATAGTAATCACAAAATGGCTTTTGGGAACCACTTGTAACAGGGATTATTTTTGATTAAATCTTTAAATCGAAATTAAATCACTCTCTGACAAATTGGCTGTCAGATTTTAGAAAGTGGGGGGACTTGTGGTTGCTTGAACACAGGACAAAGAACTACTAACTACTTGACCTCTGCCCCTGGACCAGTTGAATTTTTTGTACGGTCACTATCTTGCCTTACGTTTTGATCTATTTTATATGACTGATCTTTGTCACTCGTGATTCAAAACTATAATTTTGAATGGATTTTCTGATTAGAAATTTAGATCAATTTTCCTCAGAAATTATTTTGAAGTTAATTTTTATCCTTATTTAATTGAAGTTTTTTTCAAAGTGTATTTTATCAAATTTACTGGTATACATAAAAATTATTAAAATGAATCAATTGTTTCAAAGTTTCAAGAAATACACTCCCAATCTTTTTGTACTAAATCTTTTAATTTTCTATACTTCACGCTATTTTGAAATAAATTAAATTTTTAAAGAATAAGGAATATTAATTTCTATGGAAATTATGTCTGATAGTGAATCCATTTTGAGAAATCTGAAGATGCTCTAAATTAAAATTTCATTTATTCATTAATTAACCTATTATTTTTTGTATTTGATAATTATTTAACAAAACATTTTATCCAATGATTCTCTTTTTTTCAGTTAAAAAAAAATGCCAATTACTATATTGGGTAAAACTTCAAACATAAAACTTTCCAGAAATAAAGGGAGAAAACAGAGTAATTTATTTCTAAGTTTTCTGTTTTAAATATTCTTTACACCACTTTTCAATAATAATTAAATTTTTTTTAAATTATCATTAATTTGAAATTGAGTTTGAAACACTTCATATAATTTTATATTACACACGTCATAAACACACTACTGGAAATGTTTCAAATAAATTTATATCATAGCATAAATTTCTTTAAATTTAAATAACAAATGCAGTTTGTTCCGAATTTAGTTTTGGTAAATGGTTAAATTTACTCACTGTCACATTTAAAATGAGAACAAAAAGTAAAAATATAAAAGAATATATGATTATTTTCTAAGGGGAGAAAATGAATATCCCTCCAAATTGGAATTTGATTGATAAATAGTATTTCACTTAAATACATCGATATATTAATTCTAACTTACTCAGTACTTCAGAACATTCTTCTAGATTTTTTTCCTCTCTGATTGATTTATATGTATGTTGCTTATTGCTATGATCTATGAATTAACTCTTCCTATATATTAAAAATTTTTAGAATATATATTTTTTTAATTATAAATTTCCTAGACTTTCTTAAATCTTTTGAAAATTATACATTTGGTAAAAATTGAAACCATTCTGAACAATTATTTAAATGGAGAAAATAATCACTATCATAAATAATGGGAAAAAAACATTTTCATTTATAAAACTAAGAAAAAATCTTAACTTCGGAAAAGTATTAAATCACATGCAGTAGGAACAATTTTGTTCAATCTGATTTTTTTTCTTCAAATTCATACAAATTCACTGTTCATTTCTTATTCAAAAATCCTGAAACTTTTACAATGTTTTTTATGTATAGGGCCTTTTCTTAACAATCACCCCTCTTAACAATACTTCTTTTCAGGGAATTTTTTCTCTCCTTCGTGTCAAAATTCCTAACAATAAAGCTCATGTGTACCCCCAAAACACAGCAATTAGCTTTTTTATGACACTATCAATGGTCAGTTGATAATCTGATAACTTAAATTTCCGAGATTACCAGACCATTGTTGGATAGATACTTGACCACCCATTAAAGGCGAAATTAAATATATCTTTATTTTTCTCACACTCCTCACTGGACAGACAATGTAAAATAATTTTTAACAAATTGACATTTACTAGGGTTGCGTTTTTTGTACTTTACCTTTCACAACATAATTTTATGGTACAATAAATATTTTTATCAATTTATAAATTATTACATGTACATAGGGGGATTATGGTTTGAGTCAGCTAAGGGGAAAAGGAAACTTTCATATTTGTTTTAAAAATATTTCATTGACAACATACATTAACATAAATTAATTAGCTTATATATGAGAATTTCTTTTATATTTCTTCTTTGATCTGCAAAATCCTTTTTAAATTAATCTTTTTTCTTCAATTTTTGAAGTCATATGACAAATAAAATACGTAATATCTTCATTAAAATGAATTTTATTAATTTGAAGCATCAAAACACCTAAAAGAAATGCGTAGCTCCACATCTTTCTTCTTTTTTTTTTGGCATGAAAATAATTTTTTTACAAATTTTAATTATTTTAATGTTATTAATTTCACTTTGACACAGGAAATAAAAATTATTAATACTCTTACCACTTACTGATTAAAAAAGGCTTCAACTTTATTTTAGCAGTTATCATTTGTCCAAAAATATATTTTCAAATTCATTTGATTTTTTAAAAATGTTCCTCAAAATACGTTTCTTTAAAATTATCTTTTAACTCAAGAATACAATTAACTAATCCTAAATGAACAATTTATAATTTTGTGAAAAATCATGAAAACAATTATTAATCAAAATAATAAAGTTTGAAAATATTAATTTTTTAATAGTAAGAAAAAGATTTTCATTGAAGAAATCTCAAGAAATAGATGGGTTACTTATATTCATAGTTTTTATACACTCTGTGATATAGCGGTACGTTACACAATTAATGTATTAACTTTATAGCCAAAGGACTCTGAATGACTACATGAAACCCTTACTGCTAAATCTAAGGCTGTATTATAATAATAATGATTTATTCTTTCCAATTCTTTAAAATCTAAATTAAACATTTATTTTACAGATATTCCACAATTATAAAAAAAACTGATGTTAAAAGAAAAGTAATTGATTTTCAAATCATTGTTCATTTTTCAAACACATTAAAATACGAATTAAATAATTAAATCAATAATTAGAATGATTTGAATGACTTACTTCTGAGACTACGCCCCTCGTCAGGTGTTCCCCGGTCAAACTCTCCCCCGTCCGACAGGCCCTCGGAGTTTGTCGTAGAGCTGATGCTATTGGGGCGCTCCTCCTTGATGTGGGCAGAGGCAGCCGAACGGGGACTCCCCACCTCCCTCTCTTCCTCCTCAGCCGACCCAGTTTCTATTTTAGGTTTTTTGGCCGACGGTCCGAATGCTGAGTGATAGGAACTTTCCGAGTCAGTGCTGACCGGTCTAAATGCACTGGTGGCTACGGGTGGCATGATTCCCATGTTTCGGTCAGGTCGTACAAATGGAGGTACACCGGAATACATGGGTGGGGGAAATGGATCCCCTGGTCTATACATGGTGAATGGAGGATTTCCATACGGTGAAACCATATCCTTTCCATCAGAATTTGTTGGGTATGGGTGAGGGGGAGCGGGCAAGCGACCTCCCTCATGACCCTCGGCAGTCGAAGCCAGAACCATAAGAGCTGGTGATGTCAGTGGATTTGGTAGATATGTTGAATTCTCCATCGCATTAATCTGCGAAGCTGCAAGAACGGCAGCATGATGAGAGAGAAAGGGCTTTTGCCAAAAATTAAATCGAAACATTGCTAAGTCAGAAACTCCACTCATATTCAGGTAAAAAACTACATTCAGTGTTTCAATTTCAACATATCCTCAAAAAAAAAATGAAATATAAAAAAATTTCAAAACACAATTTTCAGTTAATATATTTGCCATATTTCCCTTCCAATCCAGCAATAAATGAAGTAAGAATTTCCAGTAGCTTTTGTCAAATAGTTAAATACTTAAATACAGACTCTTAGGACAACCCACTTTTATTGTGACATGCTTGTCAATTACCCGCGCATGCGTGTTGTGTTCCTACTGTGCCATATATGGAAAATGTCAACAAAAGCACCTACTTCAATAATAACAAAATTTAGGACACCTTTCAGAAAAATATAGTAACTAACATAAACTAAGAGCTTTTTTACACTACATATAACTCTAAAGTTTTCTTTTTTTACTTCTTTAGTTGAGGATGTGAAGGGATATATTTCTGCGACATTTTAATACCTTCATCGAGTATTCTGTTGTACCTCTATACATCGCAATTTGAATTTAGAAAATTTCCTATCGCATTAAACAAAAATAACAACATGCAATGAATAACGAATACCTTTTTTATCTATCGCAGGTGACAAACTAACTCAAAATCGAAAGATGACACGATTTTTCGTGGATAATATTTACCTATAATCCAGTATTACTGCAAGAGGTTCCCTCTCTGTCTGTGCCTCGTTTTCAATTTTAAATCCATTATTAGCCTAGTGGGATAACACCTCAACAAAAATAACTCGGGGGATACCTTTGGAAAATCTATACATTGTGCTTATATATTTCAATTATTTCAAACACTTATTAAAAAAAACAAAAAAATAAATAAAACATACTTAATATCCAACAAAGTACATTATACTATCATTTGCTTTTTTATATCTAATTTGAAAGCATCGTTTCGCATTGCTGTTCTAGGTTTACCGCAACCTTAGCCTCGGTATGGAGCAAGTCTACTTTCGCTTTGTCAACAGACCACAAGATTCAAGACAGAAATCAAAGAAATGAGTAATATTTACATTCAAGAGCCCCCAACCAATGGGAAAGTATGTTCAGAATATATTGTAGGTGATGCTTAGTAATGCTTAGGTGATGCTTGTCGTTATTTCCTGCTAAATCTTAATCGAATCCAGCCAATATGCAATACCAGAACTTAATCAATAATGCCCCCCCCCCCCAGTTTATCCCAATTAAAAATTCAAGATTTGTAAGCACAATTTATACTCCTTATCTTGGTATAATTATATGTCTTAGTCATACATGCCCCTGATTCAATAAATGCCATATCACAGAGATTAACTGAATTTAATTGAATTTAATGGCTGTTGGCAGTACAGGCTTTTTATTTAAACAAGATATTCTTTAAATGTAGTAATAATTTATTTCAATAAACAAAAGAACAGATAACATTTAGCAAAAAAAGAAATTGTGGAATAAATGTAGCCTTAAAAACTAATGTAGTTTGTGTGTGATGTTCTGGTGCTGAATCGGTATCATCCTCACCATGCCAGGGGTCTTGTGTCAGTATGTTGTCGTGGGACCTCTGGCCAATTTCATTTGATATTTTAGGACTTGCTTCTCTCATTGAAACTAGATAGTTAGATAATTAATGTTAACAGAAAGGATTCAATTGATCAAATGCATGTCTTAAAAGTTGTTTATCATAGATTACAGCTTGATGTGATTAGTTGAGAGAAGAAAAAAAAACAATCATGATTCGTAATTATTCCAAAAGACATTGTTACAGGAATCCCATGGTAGCATGTGGTTTCAGGACCCCTGTCACTTGCAAGGATGGTCTGGAAGTAGTAGTGTCTCTAACTTCGTTTCAAGCCTTGAAATCCCTATACAGAATCTTCCGAGAAGTAAAAAAAAAACTTTAATCTTGAAAAGGTTATTCCTTAGTTATATATTTCATGATATGTGAAATGCTCATATTTTACAGGTTCTATTAATAACATCAGCTGGAGACCTGGACATTGAGTTGTGGTCGAAAGAAGCACCTAAAGCATGTCGAAACTTTATACAGCTCTGCATGGAAGGCTACTACAATGGAACTATATTTCATCGAGTGGTGAAGGACTTTATTGTTCAAGGAGGGGATCCAACTGGAACAGGAACGGGAGGAGAATCAATTTATGGAAAGCCATTTAAAGTAAATTCGCGTCTACTGAAAGGAAAAATTAGTTTTGATATGATAAATATACATAAATGGGATGGAGGGTAAGAAGAAATAAGCTAGTAATTTGTTTTTGGAGTTTCCTGAACAATAAAATTACTTCCTATTTTTCTCTTTACGAAGTTTATTGTTTATTTCTCTGATTTTTTTTTACACTTCAGGATGAAATTCACTCTCGATTACGGTTTGTCAGGAGAGGGTTAGTTGCCATGGCGAACGCTGGAGCAAATGATAATGGCAGTCAGTTTTTCATTACAATGGGACCAACCCCTGAGCTACAAAAGGAACATACAATATTTGGAAAGGTATTTTAAGGCCAAAGTTTTTTTTTCTCTTGGTTTACGATTCCACCGACCCTATTTTTCCCTATTTACAAAAATAAAAATAATGTGTTTGACTCTAGAAACTGGACTCTTAATCCAAAATTTTCTCGACCAAACGACAGTTTTTATAATTTACAACACAGATTGTCAAACCACATGGCGGGACAGCGCAAGACCAACTTAGGGGGCGACTCGCTTACAGACTGTTTCTATACTAATGACCAATGCATCAAATACTCCGTCGGAACTCCTCTAGATTTTACACTTCCGGGTATGAAAAAGTCCATCGTGCAAGTTATACACAAGACGCAAAACAGCTGGACGGCTATCGATGTCATGCCAAAGATGTTGGAGAAGATTTTAGATCTTTTTATTGTCAAATAATTAATTCATGCTGTGAATACAGACATATTTTACTGTTAAATTGTGAAGTTATTAACTTCTTACATGAAGTCACACATCGGATATAAACATAAGTGTAGTTTAATCGGTATGCAGAAGTGCGTCAAAACTTTTATTAGAAAATGAATTTTATATTTAAAACAAAGCTTGAAGAGAAATTAACAAAATTATGACTATGCCAAAAGTCTGGAAGTCTAATGAGAAGAGAAATTTTAGAAGTTTAAGGTTGTGCTACTATGTAAGAAATGAAAAAAAAAATGTTTGATAAACAATTAATCTGATAAGAAACTTTTACATTTTAATTTTAGTTCACGTAGTAGTAAATTTTATTTAATGTCAATGTTGTTCTATTAATTTTTTCTAGATATTTATATACCTTGTAATTTGGGGAAATTTCTTCTAAGATTCTTTTTGTCTTATTAAATCGTTTTAAATACAATGTTTATACAGAAAAAATTATTGAAATGTTTGTAATTTATAAACAATGAAATAGTTTTATAACAATTAATGTGTGCCACATACCGTGATACGCTCCAAGAAGTCTCCCTAAATTTCAAAACTTCTCCCTAAATTTCTTTGATGGAGAAATGTCTCCTTAAATTCTGGGTCTGGGTTATTGGTCAAGGACACACGTATAATAAAGGTAAAAGTTTGTTGTGAAAGCAGTCCATGACTTTCAGAGTTTCCAAAAACTTTTTCGTATGTGGAAAGGTTGACCAGAGAATAGCAGATTCACTTAATTTTACCCGTGCAATGTGTCTATTATGAAAACTTGGACTTGAAAGTCAGAAGAATGAAAACAGGCATCTGAATACATTTCAATGCTACTGGAGAAAAAAAAATATGTCAAGGTTCCAAATTATTTTTATTTTTATTTTTCGACTGCCCAACGCATATTTTTGTGTCAAAAAATCGTAAACAAAAAAAATAAAAACTTTGGCCTAATGGGTTTTATTTTTTACTTGATGATACAAGGTAGAAATGGCCTATTATAACTTTAACTGAATCAGAAGAAAAGAGTTTATTTTCTTTTTTCATATCTGTTAATGTGTCTGACAGTAAACTTTTTTCCATACCTTATACATGTGATTTTTACTCAAAAGGTTTTCTTTCTTCAGAGAGCAAAATCAACAGGCAAATGTTTCTGTGATAAACTTTGATGTTAAGTATGATGCTATGTTTTTCAAATTTGGTTTTACGAATGATTCATAAATAATTCAATATTCTTTATTACCAGATAACAGGGAACACGCAGTATAACTTAGGAAAATTACAGGAAGTGGAGGTTCAACATGATTACGACCCTCTCAAAACTACACATGTAAGTACCCCATCAAATAAAGCTTCATATTCTATGGGAGTAAGAAAAATATTAAACCAATAGTTTGAATAATATTGAAAGTCCACACACACTTTTTTGGGAGGGGGTGGGCAGGAGGTGTATTGTTTTTTGATTGATCATCAGAATGTACCGGCAAATAAGTGTGATTACACAATTCAATTTTTTTTTTCACACATTTTACTCCAGATTTTATCAAACCCATTTGATGACATTATTCCAAGAGTATCTGCACATGAAAGAAAATCTAAAGAATCAAAAGAAGACAAAGTGAAGAGCAAGTCAAAAGCCACAAAGTATGCTATCAGTTTACATGCAATCTAACAAAATTGCAGAGTAGCATTTTGTAGTGTAAGGGAGATAAATCCTATTTCATCACTACCCATCTTGAGGCAATTCTAATAAAACAATCAACATACTTTTCTCTTTTGATATGTTTATCATCATCATCATCAGTAGTGAAATGTTTATTATATCTTTTATATTCTTTGGAAGTAAATATACATGTAGTGAAACATCTCAAAACTGTCACACTGAAAACTCCCTCCAAATCTATCATTATTATGGCGTCGGGCTTGCCCGATCGTCATCTAGCGATCAGTCAGGTTTACGCGACCGCACGTGTCAGTGGATGCATCCGCAATAGAAAATAGCAACAGCTGTAAACCAATTTCTTTTAAAACGTTCACAATGAAAGCTTGAATATAAAATTAAATCAATTGTATCTTCAATTAATACTACTACAAAACAACGATATTATGTTTAATTTTTACGCAAGAAAAACGTTATGGTTGTTGCGGATGAATTTCTACACATAGGGTGCGTCGAATGACATGAATCACATTTTGGGACCGATTACTGTAATACAAACAATCTTAAATACTGTAAAATAATTACAAAATAAACACGAATACAACAAGACTATAAAGATTGAATTTCTTAATCTTAGCTTTACTTTCACGATCTTCAATCCAATTTTAGCCGAACAACCTACGATATTGACCAGTAATGCCAGTATTACTGTATTTATCCATTTCCTCCATTTGTTTACCGCACCTTATCGTAAGTCGATCGTACTTGTAACATTAGAGTCATGGTTGTAGTTAAGATGCAATCACTATACAACAGAACAACACTCTGACAATGGCAATTAATTAAAATAATTTATGAAACCCTTCATATGTCTTCGATTGACTGAAAAGAAATTAGATTGATATAGAGGATGGACATTTCTGACGATGTCTGGTCAATTCGAACCCTGACTCATTCGGACCAGGACACAAGGCTATCAGGCCCTATACTGTATTTGTGTTAAGACTTTTTTTAAATTTTATTATTATGTTACTGGAGTTACTCACTTGACCTATTTGCAAATCTTTTGAAATTGTTTTTCTTGTTCGATGCCATTGAAGCCTTTCAGGCTTTTGATAAAAAGACCCTGTCAGTGATTTGTAAACCTCAGAAAAGCAGCCACCTTTCTAATCTTTGGTCTGGTCTGTGTTGTGAGATGTGTATTGTTTCATCTTGTATATTATTAGTAACATTAAGTTTCTTGAGCATTCCAGAGTGGTCAATATGTTTGGTCATTTTTTCTAGAACATTCTTAAATTTTGTGTATGTCCAGATTGTTCCAGTAATATCATGTTTTAATAATTTCTAGAATATTCTAGATTTATGATACTATATAAATACCCTGTCAATTCGATGCATGGACAATACATTGTCGTATAAGCATCATTGAGGTATTACTGGGATATAATTTCACTGGGACATTGTGTGCAGCAACGGACACTCTGATGTATGTATTTTTAGATTTTTGCTAAGTTTGTACTTAATGATTTGTATATTACTGTAAATAAATTATTGTTAAGTTTAAACTGTGTGATTGATCTTTGCTGGCATTTAGGGTTATTCTGACCCATAACAGTCTGGAAGGAGTGTCTGTTTTTGTTTGTCCAGAAGACAGCCATTTTCGGCAGTTTCTCTGTAATGCAAATTAATAATTTTCTAAGTTCTGCTCTGAAATGTACTAAACTGTGATTGACTTTTTCCCCCCTCTCAGAAATTACAAATTGCTGTCGTTTGGAGATGAAGCAGAAGAACAGGAAGAGGAAGTAGATCTGGTATCCAAGGACTCCAAAGGGAAGAGTAAAAGTAGCCATGACCTTATAGATGACCCTTCCCTCAGTACAGAAACCACAGAGATAGACCAGGAGGAAGTCAGACAGAGACTAGCACAGCCACCAAAGGTTTGGCAAAACCCTTTTTTTGGCAACAAAATTTCCAAATCTATATGAAGTTTTATAATTTGCCACATCCTATTTTTGTGGGATTACTGGGTAGAAGAGTTATAGCTAAAATTCAATAATTTAAACAGAACATAATGGATGAAAATTTAATGTGACTTCATTTTTTTTTCTTTGTGATTTACAAAATGTTTGATGAGAAAACTAAAAGTGGATTATTGAGAAAATCCACTGTACCTTTTTTGGTTGGGAATCTTAAAATTATGCACAGCATTTCAAGCAAAAACTGGAAAAAAAGTCAAAATAATTCAGCAATAGATATGTTGCTGTCTCTTGTTGGGGTTGGAAGGGTAGCGTATAGTAATGTGTTTGTGTGTAAGTTTGTCCAGTGTGAAAACAAGAGTGACATAATTTGCAGTGGGATCAGTGCTGAATGATGCCTTGATTCCTAGATATGCTCTTTCGGAGAGGATGCTTAGGAGTGCCTCTAATGTGTTATATTATTTTCTGCATTAGAGAATGCATTCCAGTCAAAACATATTTACATTTAGAATTTTTTAAAATGTTTTTTTTCTCTCTTTCCTCCTTTTCTTTCGAAATTTAATTTTTACTTTTTTTGTTTAAGGAGAAAAAGAGGAAATCCCCGTCACCAGACAAAGACCAGAAAGAGGAGCAAGAGAGAGTAAGTAGAACGTAAGTACAAAATTATTTCATTACGTGGTCTCCAATATACCGTCTGAGCAAAATTTTTAGCGAGGATTGAATTTTGGCATTTTTAGCGAGGGTGCCGAGATCGCTAAGATTGAATATCGCTAAAATTAATTGTGTTTTATTTGTAATAACTTTTTAGTGAGCATTTTAAAATTGCTAAAATTACATCTTGCTAAATATAAAATACTAGTTTTTAAGGACAAATCGCTAAATTTGCGTCTCGCTAAAATTTCAACTTATACGGTAATTGGCTGCAGAAATTGATCCATCTTTTCTGTGTCATATTACTTCTATGGAGTAGAATTTCTCTCTCTTTTGCCCAATCTGGTTCCTAAGTATTCAAAAAGCACTCAGCAAAATAAACAAATTATTTTTTTGCAAATAAGAAGAGTTTATTTAAAATAGTTGTTCATATGTTGTAAAACAAAAATATTTTACTAAAATGGTGTTAACACGCATTCTCTGTAAGCACCAAAAAATTAATTGTGTTTTATTTGTAATAACTTGGAAACGACATGTCTCGGATTTTGATGAAATTTTCACCATAGGTGTGTCTTGGTGCAAAACTAGTAAATATGGTGTCGGAAGTTCCACACGTGCACTTGGTTGCCATGGAGACGGATCCATTGAATTCGGCCATTTTTGGCCCATTTTGACTAAATGAAAACATGAAAATCGAGGAAATGTGAATGAATATTTATCGGTATCTAATACACTCTAACAAAAATCATTGGATCATATGATAACATGACATTTTAAGGTACACAGGGCATATAATTGTTTATTCTAGAAATATTCCTCCTGTAAGAAAAAGGTCATGCAAAATTACATGGTTTCTAAAAATTTGAAAAATGGGGAAATTGGAATTTTTTGAGATCTTTGAGGCTAAATAAGAAAAATTGTCCGCGGAAATTTCCCAAATCTTATATGTGTTATTATACTTGGGGATAAGTAGTGTCATTTCAAGAAAAAACATAAGTGGGCTTTTGCTCCTATTTTTAGTAACATGCATCTATAAATAGATATATTTTAGAAAAATGTGAAAAATCAAATTTTGGCAAAGTTTAAATTGTCATTACTGCATAATTAGAACGTATGTTGTAAAATTTGAAATTTTGATGACAAGAGCTGGACACTACTAGCTGGTATGGACAACGGTTGAGGGGAATTCCCATTTTTATTTGTAGTAACAGGTGGCTAAATATAGATATGTATCTGAATATTAGGAAAAATGGCATTTTTGTTCTAATTGGAAGCTTCATATAAAAAGTCCTAACAAATATAAAGCTTTCTACAATATGCTTTCAGAATGTACATGTGTTTGTTCAAAAATTGCTACAATATTGAGGATGGACTCTTGTCTCATTTAATGGCAACAATGGTCTAAAAATAGATTACTCGAATAATTAAGAAAATGTAGATTATTGCACCTTTTCAGGCAATTTTTAGATGTAGTTGCTGCATAATTAGGAAATATTTTGTAAAATTTTAGATGTAAATGACAGGATCTGGATACCACTAGCAGGTATGGATAATTGATGAGGGGAATTCCCATTTCTATTTTTAGTATCAGGTGGCTAAATATAGAGATGTCTATGAATATTAGGAAAAATGACATTTTTGTTCTAATTGGAAGCTTCATATAAAAAGTCCTAACAAATATAAAGCTTTCTACAATATGCTTTCAGAATGTACATGTGTTTGTTCAAAAATTGCTACAATATTGAGGATGGACTCTTGTCTCATTTAAAGGCAATTTTTGGATGTAGTTGCTGCATAATTAGGAAATATTTTGTAAAATTTTAGATGTTAATGACAAGATCTGGATACCACTAGGTGGTATGGATAATTGTTGAAGGGAATTCCCATTTCTATTTTTAGTATCAGGTGGCTCAATATAGATATGTCTCTGAATATTAGGAAAAATGGCATTTTTGTTCTAATTGGAAGCTTCATATAAAAAGTCCTAACAAATATAAAGCTTTCTACAATATGCTTTCATTTCTACAATATGCTTTCAGAATGCACATGTCTGTACAATAATGCTACAATATTGAGGATGGACTCTTGCTTCATTTTATAGCAACAATGGTCTAAACATAGATTACTTGAATAATTGAGAAAATGTAGATTATTGCACCTTTTTTAGGCACTTTATAGATGCCATTGCTGCTTAATTAGGAAGTATATTGTAAAATTTGAGATGTTAATGACAAAAGCTGGACACCATTAGTCGGTGTGGACAATGGTTGAGGGGGTTTCCCAATTCTATTTTTAGTATCAAATGGCGAAATATAGATTTGTCTCTAAATATTAGGGAAAATGGCAGTTTTGCTAGAAAATGTCTTAAACATAAAACTTTCTACAATATGCCTTCGAAATGAACACTTGTTTGTACAGGAATTGCTACAATATTTAGGACTGACCCTTTTTTTTATATCAACAATGGTCTAAAAAGATTCCTAGAATAATCGAGAAAATATGGGTTATTGTACCTTTTCAGGCAATGTTGGAAAGAAAAATCAATGTTATACCGTTAGTCTGGAAATTTTTGCTGTAGGTAAATTTTTAGCAAATTTGCGAGTTCATTGCATTTGCAAAAATATTTTTCTTAAAAATAAATAACAAATAAGAAAATGTTAACAAAGCAGTGGTTATTCGCAAAATTTTGATACGTAAAAATTAATAAGCACCATTTTGACCTGAATTCGCAAAATAAAAACGACGTAAAAATTTCCAGATTTACAGTAGACGTTGTGTGACTGACAAATAATTCCAATCTATTTAGTCAAATGCACACTATCTGTACGTGGGGCTCTCTTTTCTATTTATAGCACATCCACTTATATGTAGCAACTTCTCAGCAGAAGAAGAAAAATGACAAAGGATTAAAGAAGCTTCATTGATAACATATTTACGAAATATTATACAATTATAGCCTTTTGATGAGGTCAATCCCTAGATATATAGACCTTAGAGAAAGCATATCGACCGAGCACGAAGTGCGAGGTCGATATGCTTTCTCTAAGGTTTATATATTGAGGGATTGTACCGAATCAAAAGGCTACAATTGTTTTATTATTTTTTTATCAGTTAATAAGAAATGTCTTAAAATCCTTCTTTCTAATACTCAGTACCTTCTCATACAAGGCATTGTTATGTCATTGCATTATGATGTCACAGTAATAAAAACCAGCTACAGTATCCTGTTTTTAGAAACATCCAGTCTATAAAGACTATTGTGACGTCAGCACTATTGTTGCTTCACAGAAGAACGTTTCCAATTTTAGAAACGACAGGTTTATGAATTTTTAAAATATGAACATCGAGTCTGTCACACTTTTTATACTTGATCATGTGATCCAGTTTGAGCCAAACAGATAGCTGGAACAATACAGAAAAATAATAAACTGCTGTATTCAACATGTTCAATATGTCATGAGTATAATAAAGTTTTCAAAGTAACAAGCAAACTCAAAGAATTGTGGTCCCCCGCTTTCGGTGTCTTTGTGAGTGAGATGTTATTTTTTATGACATATTGTGTCTAATATGAACACCCTACCATATGTCATTTATTTAGAAATTATCATTGAAGTTGATTGTTTTGAAGGATGAAAACCCTAATCCTGACCGTTAAAAACTTATGGCCAAAGTGAAAGGTTTTTTAAAAGTAGGTCAACTCCAAGGTCAAGATCAAAGGGTCAAAGTTGCTAAATCTAATGAAAGGTCTTCTCACAAGGATTACATATATGAAGTATGAAAGTCCTAGCCCTTATCGTTCAAAAGTTATGGTCAAGGTTAAAGTTTTTTCATAAGTATGTAAATCTTTAAGGTCAAGGTCAAAAGGTCAAAGTTGTTGATATCCAATTAAAGGTCCTGCCACAAAGAATATGTATGTGAAATATGAGAGTCCTAGTATCTATCGTTCAAAAGTTGTGACCAAAGTTAAAGCTTCTTAAAAGTAGTTAAAACTCCAATGTCAAGGTCAAAGGGTGAAAGTTGTTGGTATCCAATGAAAGGTCTTCTCATAAGGATTACATATTTGAAGTACGAAAGTCCTTGCTCTCACCGTTCAAAAGTTATGGTCAAGGTTAAAGTTTATTCATAAGTACGTAAATCTCAAAGGTCAAAAGGTAAAGGTTGTTGGTATCCAATGAAAAGTCTTGCCACAAAGAATACATATGTGAAATATAAAAGACCTAGTAGCTACTGTTTAAAAGTTGTGACTAAGGTTAAAGTTTAAAAAGTAGTTAAAACTCCAAGGTCAAGATCAAAGGGTGAAAGTTGTTCGTATCCAATGGAAGGTCTTTTCAAAAGGATTACATATATGAAGTACAAAAGCCTTAGTCCTCACCGTTCAAAAGTTATGGTCAAGTTTAAAGTTTTTTCATAAGTACGTGAAACTCCATGGTCAAGGTCAAAAGGTCAAGGTTGTTGGTATCCAATGAAAGGTCTTGTCACAAAGAATACATATGTGAAATATGAAAGTCCTGGTATCTACCATGCAAAAGTTATCGTCAAAGTAAAAGTTTGGAATTATTGTGTAAAAGTGGGTTAAACTCCAAGGTCAAGGTCAAAAGGTCAAATTTGGTGGCACCCAAAGAAAGGTCTTGTCACAAGGAATACACATGTGTAATATGAAAGTCATAGCTTCACTAAATCAAAAGTTATGGGCAAGGTTAAAGTTTTTGTGACGGACAGACTGACGGACAGACGAATGAGATTTAATGTCCCCTCGCTTTCGCGAAAGCGGGGGACAAAATAATCATGTGGCTGATAAGTATAAACTATATGTAATATCGGTAGTTACCGTTAACTAACAAGCATAAAAACAATGATGATATTCAGTTCCTATTATATTTGAAATATGCGAAATCAATGAGGACTTCCAGTTCTATTTATAAAAACAAAGAACAAGGTACAGTTTCAATACAAAATATTTAAAGCTCTATATTTTTCTAATATATGAAAGTGATATAGGA